CAATATTTTTCAAAATAGTGAACAAAATGTGAACCACAAACTAAAAGTTACATCTTATTCTAAACCTTCACAAATATTTATGTATTAGATTTTGAACATTATTTGAACATAATCCTAAAATAATGTCTTAGAACCCTATGTTAATGATTACAAGTGACTTTAAATATTTGAAAATAGGCACTGATCATGATTTACTTTTAAAAATATTTACCTACTCTAATAATTCATAAATATCTATTGTGTGTATACATAATTTATTTACTGCATTCGACATCAAACAGTGGTATAGTAACAAACATTCTACCACAATATAAAATGCAATTAAAAAAAACAAACGATTTTGACATATTTGTTTTAATATAAAAAATCATGTCTCTCCCTACTCTATTTAATGCTAATGTGTATGATCTCTTTAGAGTTAAAGACCCTTTTCTCTTGGTTTTTTTGTTGTTGTTATTTTCAGTGTTTTTAATACAGTTGACAAAGTTGTGGCATTCTCAGTATAACATTGCTAATGCTGTTTTTTTCTGTTATTAACGTAGGAATTGTAGGGCCTACTTGTGTTGTCATTTTCCCACATTCTGAAACTATAGATCAACACTGTTTGAGGCCGGTATGAAACAGTTTTTATACAGTAAATTAAAAAAAATAGAAAGAAGAAAAAAAGAGGCATAGTTGCCTCGGTTAATATTTAAACATAAGATACAAGACAGAATATAGTATATGAACAGTATCCTTCAGTATCAATATATATCATCAGGAAATATTTTCACAATATTGTCCAGTTTCTCAATATAAATGTAAGAATAACTTCCCCATTTACAATTATTCTGCAAGAGATGATGGCTCAGTAGTTTTCTCTTACAAACTGTTATAAGAGAATAGGCACCAGTAGACGACTTTCAAAATAGTAATATTAATAATGTGAAGTACATTTTGTAGAATGAAAGCTAAAAAATGTAAATAGAAGTAGGCACAGAATTTGAAGACATTACTTAAAGTATTTAAAGAAGTGTGTTGATGTTTAAAATTTGAAGATGAAATGTAGTAGTTTTATACCACACAAACTGGCTGACTCGAAGCCAGTGGCCGCGAAGCTGAAGCCCATCGAGTAAGTGCTCAAGTCCTCCTCCCTTATGGAATTTTTTAGTATGTTTTTATGCAGTTGTGGCGTAAACAGATTACACTTTATAAAAATGTAATAGTTAAATGTTTTAACTATTTCTTAGTGCTAGGTGGTGGAAAAAAGTTTTTTCAAATTGTTAGTAATGAGTTAATAAATTCTTTAACCATATGAAATGAAAGTAGTGTGAATACATAAAACATCTGAAATAAATTAGAAGTAAGTATACGATTGCTTATCTACAATTAAAGAGAATAAATAAAAAAAAATTGAATCAAGACAATCAGTTTCAAGATTCTTTATTAATTTTTATGAATAACAATAATTAGCATCTATTACTCCAGGGATTGCCAAATTTTTTCTTGTATTTACCCTATTTAAGAGAATTGTTTGCTCCCTTGACCTCAGTATGTTTTTTCTATAATATACCGCATCCATAATCATACCACAAAGAATTGCACACACATGCTTTAAATATAACAATTTCATGTCCTCATATTCTCATAAATACTACAATTTTCAATAGTTGAAGCATCTCCTTTTGAGTAGCCAAGTTTGTAATCTTCATTTTAATACCAAGGTTACAAAATGTTGAAAGCTTTCGAAGAAGTGGCCAACACATGTCTCCAGTGCCTAGTGTGGTGGTTACATTTATACACGAATTGAGATGTCAGAGTACTAATTTCTTGAATATTTTAAACTTCCTATATCCTAAAGATGAACAGCAGATACAAAAGAAGAAGAGTGAATTGGTAATTTATTATTGAACATGTGTTGCTTATTTCAGAAAACAATTAATTAAGTTCATATTTTTTTTGTAATTAATGTTTTTTTATTACACTTATCAGGCGCCAGTTCATGTTTTTCAGTTGACCCCCCAATCAACCCCTTAATCGTCATACACCCCCTTCAAACTTTCATCGATCTCCAGGGGTTCTTTACCAACATCTTTGGGAACATCTGTACTATACAATATATTCATTTACAATCGTTTTATTATATTCTTATAAAAGGAAACAGAAATATGTCAAATTTAATCATGAAAGGAGATAATAAAATGCATGGTGGTTAAAATTATAACAATATTGTACATTCCTCATCGTCGAGCACACCCCGCACAGAGTTTCCCAGGCCTTCTCTTCGCCGTCTGCCAACAAATTTCGTGCAATTCACGAAGACGTGTTCTGCAGAAAGTACCGTCCTATATGAATCATATATCGGAGGAGACTCGCCATAGAAGGGGAATCCATGAGAAAAGTGGCCGTTACGATGATGGGTTAGAATTACTTCCTCACTCCTAGAAAGTCGGGATGAGAAACACACCAGGAACAAACAGAATCCTTGAACACACTTAGTTTTAAAGTTGTATTGTATCATTGTTTGCCACGCACTGAATATGGGTCGTTTCAAAAAGCTTTACCATCAGACGATAGTAGAGAAGGAATGTCAATACGAGACTTCGACCCTCCCGATTTCGCCGCTTGGCCAACCAACTCATTCCTCGTGATTCTCTCATGGCCTTGGACCATACGGAGTACCGGATCATAGAGGTGAGACAAGATGATGTGTCAGGTTTTTAACTGATTTAGTCGGGTAGTATGAGAAAGAGCGAGGGAGGGCTTGAAGAGAGCTGGCTCAGAGCATCAACTTGTATCACTGCAGTGCCTCTGACCGCGAGGTCCGAGGTTCCAGTCCCGATAGTGGCAGGATTTTACACATTAGCTAGACAGCTAGGTCGAATGCTATTGCTGTCTGGTGGAGAAAGCTAGCGACCGGCTGCTCTGGTTGGTAGTTTCCCGTGGTTCCTCCCATTAATATTAGGCGTATGCCGGAGCAGTACTCTAACAAACGGTTCACGTACAGCGCGAGATCCTTCCTTCCCCAACCGATCCTTTTGTCCTATCCTATCACGCCTTACATTCATACACTTACATACCACCCCACATGCCGGGAGAACGGTCGGCAGCTCAGAGCTGGTCCCGGCTGGAGTGGTGTCCCGCTGGTGGGAGATGCCTGGTTGGGAAAACTTCACTAGCCGACAGCTAGCTTGGCGCCGGAACCTACCATCCACCGGGGTAAGATCACTGACATCTTCCTAGGAAAACAAGCACTACACTTACGGACTACTGACACGCCTGGAATCGCCCATCAATCAATCAATAATTGAAGCGAGCTGATAGAATTAGAACAGAAATAATCGCCGCAACGATGCTGATTCCATGTTGTTTAGGGTTTCGATAATTGCACACATCTCAGCAGTAAACTACAGCGCCAGTTGAACTTGCTTCTGGATCACACTGGTGCTACTGGATGAACAGAAGATTGTAAAATCATCACAAACAACGATGCCTTTACATAATGATTGATCTTTCCCTTCTTTGGGAACTAGGACGATGATAGCTTCTTACCACAGAGTAGGGATGGCGAAGTCTTCCCAGAAACTGTTGTAGAGCCGGACGAGAAATTGCATGGCTCATTCGGAGAGATATTGCAGCATTATCTTGTGGAATTGGAGATGTTCTTTTTGCAAGCACACAACAGCGCATATCACTCTTTGAGAATTCGGTTTTATAATCCTCATGTAATCTGCTTGTAATCCAATGCGAGGTTTTTCATTCTTTCTTTGAATACAAGAAGCACTAAGCATAGTTTGCCGAACTCCACATAATTTCATACTGGGCGGCAGGTTCTTCTACAATGTCGTCTCCAGATGCAATCATCTCTCTATTCGTAAGGAGACCTGACACTGACTTTCGGGAAGAATATCTCTTGATTTGACGTACTTTCTTTCATAACAGCTTCATGATGGCACATCGGAATTGAGTAAGAAAATATTCTTATTTAATTTATTCTCGTCAAAAACAGTTAAAAACTGTGTGTGACGTGCTATGGGGAGAATTTAATTTGAAGTTACATTTATGTCCAGAAGCAAAACAAACAAACCACTTCAGCATTTGTTCGAGGATCACGGAAACTGGACGAAAACCTGATCGAGATGGGGATCATTGACCCAAAAGCTGACGTACAATTCTTGTTACAAGTTCTTTACAATTATACAATCCAAATGGTATATAACACCTTTAATGTCATTGTTTAAAGTAATATTGCTTTCCTTTTGGATTCTCGGTATAGTCTCTAATTGTATAGAAACAGTTGTGCAGCAGAAAATATTTTACTTGGGTCAGTAACCCTGCTTTACCGCAGAAACCGAGGCGTGATGCGCACTGTCGGACGTCCGTCCCGTGACTATCACAGTCACATGTCCTGACGCCAAAATTAAAACCGGTCGCCGTCCGGCGGACCGCGTGCCTACAGCACCCGAGATCGTCTGAAGATCATAGGAAATTCTCAATCAATGATAACAGCACAAAAAAGGGCTTAGAATTTGGTAAAAAATAGAGAAACTTACCAAGAAAATTGGAAGAAATTTATTTTTACTTATGAAAGTAAATTTATTATTTTTTGCGTAGACGGGAGATGCATGGTATGGAGGAAGGACTCCGAAATTCAAGAGGAGAACCTACAGTCCACAACGAAGTATGTAGGTGGATACGTACTCGTCTGGGGCTGTACGAATGCTTCCCAAGTGTGACATCACTTGCTAAAAGAAACAATGTACCATTGATACAACAATATTTTGAAAACTTAACTATATATAGGTGATGAAGAAAATGGGCCCCAAGAAAGTTTATTTTCCAGCAGGACAATGTGGATAGCCTCGAGATTGCAACATAAGAATGTGGATCCTTTCTAATGCACCACGATATCAGGTTGTTCCAATACATTTAGCTACCGGTTTTGGAACTAATTTTGTATATTTTGTTTTTAACTTCCCAATAATTTATGCTGAATATTTCTTTGATATCAATTATAAAATACACACTTTTTTCTATACTACCTAACATTTTAAATAAGTATTTTTACGCCAGAAATTTATTCATTTTCTGAAATTCGATAAGTTATCCAATACTTTTCACACTCACTATATTCAAAATGCCAGGTTTACGACTAAAATGAAAATATATTTTATGTCAACTTAGTATCACTTACTGAAAACTTACCTTTCTCAAGTTGGGAGCGTAGGCTTCCGCGGCCGGACTCAGTATTTACTAGGCTGTCCGGGTGACGCCGCGTCCATGGCGAATACTTTCACAAGTTGTTGTTTCTATTAAAAATTCAAACTGTTATCTGCTGATGTGGAAAATTCCTTCAGTCTCACTTGCTTCACAATTATCATACGAAGAATTAGGAGGATCCGCGGTATTACAATTATAATTTGTGGCAACGTCTGATGTAGAACCTATTAGCAAATCTCTAATGCCTTTCCTATTAATATTACCCGCACACATGAAGAAAAATCCTGATGTAGACAACTGCACGTGTTAGATGATACTCATTGGTTTGCAGTGTGACCTCTGCTGTTGTAGGGATCCTAGCAATAGAAGAGGCATTAGATATTTTTTAATAGGTACGGAGGGCACTCGTATCCGGAATGGAAAGAAAGGAATTTATTTTCAAATGTGCCTTCAACAATGCCTATTCTGCGAAGTCTTATCGCGGCCTCCAAGTTATCTCGTCCGATCGGTCGACTGGTTTCTCATTGTTGAGTCATTTAAGGGTGGGTTAGATCGAGATTCGTGTTACGTTTAACATGCCTTTTTTAAATTTATTAATGGAAAGAATAGAGGTTCTTCTATGTTCAGGTAGAGATTGAATAGATTTGACCTTCTAGTTTTCGCGTAATGACACCGTAAAGTTTTGTTGTTTTAACACGGGCTCTTATGGGGACCTGACAGATCTGACCTGAAATTTTAAAATTGTGAGAAAATTAACTGTTAAACATGCTTTTAAAAACTCTTCTTTAGCTAGGTAGGTAGGAGCTCAAAGAATCAACATGCACAATTTGAAGGAAATCTACCGTTTAAAATGGGAAAATTTTGCAAACTTATAAGCCTAAATCAGTCCGAAGGGAGACGTTCGCGCGCGTTCTAGAGTGTCGGGTCTGTGACGCGCATCGGCAACACCGCGCGTACAACACGCTTCATTCAAATCGAGTGACTAGAACCAAGAGTTCGTACATTCCTCTGGATTTTTTTGGAGCATTTAAAATCACTCCTGGAGAACTTTGCGTTTGATAGTAACCTGATATTCAGAAATATTGTAATTTGATGGATATAGTGATTAGTGCGATCTGAATGAAAATATCAATTCAATTATTATTCTCATTGAATCATTTGATACTACTCCCTATGAGAAAATGGGTGATCTTGAGAGTTTTTAGAATTTTTTAAACATTTAGTACAGTCTTATTGTTTCGTATTGTGCTGTATACCAGATTTTTTGGTCCTGAACAATGATTATTCAATTATCAGAAAATTATTCATGTTTTCCTTTTCTTATGGAGATACACAGTGCATTGCCATTGCCTTGTGCACCACTGTTGCTATCTTTAGCATACATCAGCACCTCTATTTCTTTCTCAATTGAAGGCCCACTCAGTAGCTCTACAGATAGACTTTTTAGTGGCTTCAAACGTTTTGCAATGATAAAATGTCGTTTTGCTGGTGTTAATATCAGCCATTCAAGGTATAGGTGAATGCAGAGCTGGATTTCCCTACTAGCAAAATAAGAAGGCTAGGGACTCCCGTCTCCGTGCCAGGATTTTTTATAATAAATTTTAAAAACTTCATAAATTGGTTTAATCTAAATAATCATTAATAACATAGTTTACTGAATGACAATGTTTGATTTTAAAAATAAGTTGAATGGAACTATAAAAAACCAAACACGTATTTCTATATGAGACATTTAAAAAGCCATTTCCACTTGTTTAAGAATTGTTAATTTATACATGTATTGGAACAATGATTTATTTTGTCTTGGTGTTTTTTAGCATTATTATTCATAATTGTTTTTTAGTTTTAAAGATGTTTCTGAAGGAGCGCCCAGTATAGTTTAGTGCTTGAAGGCCTACAGTATCTGAATCCACCCACGGGTAAATTTATTAATTACACTTTATTGAATTTGTGAGGCGAATGATATAGTCAGCCTTTGGTAGTTTTGGTATTTTAATAGAAACTCCTTTTCACTTCGACACTATATTTTATCTAATTGTTTGCATTTCCTGAACAGTAGTAATAAATTTTGAATGGTTATCAAGTCTTATTTTGAAACATTTAAATCTCTTCATTATGTGTGCAACATTAATACAACGATAACAAAACACTATGCCACTTGCAACTCTCTTTTGAAGATTTTATCTCCAACAATATTATAATTTTATTATTCAAGGTCTCAATAATACAGCCCTCAGAAATTTATGATGCAGTAATTTCATTTTATCAGCTTTAGTTTGATATGTACTTTACACAATAATCTGCATTTAAATCAATATCATAACATGGTATAAAATTATACTGAAAACCAGCAAATAATTTCTATGAATTACCTAATCGCACTGCTGGCATATGGCACACAGCAATTGCAGAAATAGTTTTAAGATTTCATTCCTCATTCCCATTTTTCAAGGTCCTACAAAAAAATATATCATGAATAAATGTGAAGGAGTTATCTCGTTCTCTTGGTAGGCATACGCTATAATACGTTATAAGAAGTATTAACGTGAAAAATCAAACCCACGTAATGTTCTGGGTTTCGTAATCACGTACTTAAGTTTAGCAAGTTATAAGCACATCCACTTTACCAAATGGCGACGCAAAATACTACAAATCTTCGTGATTAATGTGGAATTTGGGTTAATGTCCATTGATTTTGGGTATAAGGTAATAAAAACATATTTTAACACCAAATGCTCTGACAAATTATTTTATTTCAATATACTTACAACTGAATGAATATGTTAGAGGACGTTAGAAATTGCAAAAATCTTTTCTATATCAAACACGTTTTCAGTAATTTCAAAAACAAAATTCAAAAATTAATTTTAAAATATTATATTAATCAGTTTAAATTGTAAAATAATTTAATTACCTAAGAATATGTAACCTAGAATATGGTATTTTTCTACTAACCATCACTAACAGAACCCATTGCATTCCATATTTTTACTCATTTCTGAAACCGAACCATTCACTAACCTAATTTATTCACAACTGCATCAATATCAGGTTCATTGGTGTACCTATGAATTAGAATTTCATTAAATAGGATACAAATTTTTGATAATTGAAATTATAAGTTTCAGTTACAGATATGAAGTATGTAATCAATGTTTTTTAACATGAAGACAACGTAATTGAACATTTAAATATACATTTGTAATTACTGACGTAAATTACGATAAGCTATAATTCTGTACAATACTATTATGTGAATATATTATGTTATGAAGATATTAAGTTTGAATCTTTCAAGAGAGATGTGATTAATGCTAGTTGACAAAAGGGATAGGATTTTGAAATAAATCAGGATTGATAGTTCTGCAGTCGCAAGGTAAAAGTTCTTCAGTAGCTACATAGGCTTAGAAGGTACAGTACATTCCAAAAAACCCGTCAAGTTGATTTTTTAAAATTATTATTATTATTATTATTATTATTATTATTATTATTATTATTATTATTATTATTATTATTTTATGCCTTCGTGCTTTCGAATATTTTTTTCGTCATACTTTAAAATCATGAATTTAGACACTTTCAACGGATTCATTGATGTGAGAGATTTGGTGAAGGACTTCAAAACTTTTACCCTGCGACCACACATGCGTTCCTATTACATGAAAGTTGATATAGGCAACCTTGAGTCAGTTTTCTAGTTCAACACAATACAACATAATATAATATCACTTAAGTGATTTGCATATTTCCTTATAAGAATGCAAAGGCGTTTCGATGACGAGATAACGCAATATTTCGAAAAGTATGTAATTAGATTACACTGCCTGACAAAAAAGTGATGTACCAAGGAGTGATTGCAAATGAATGAAACTTCAGATGGTGAAAAACCATGTGACTTATTGAACTAATTACAATATGGGTTGGAAGAGACAATGTCTTTGGCAGTTACAGGTATTGACTTCTGGTCAACAGGGTGTCGCACCTCCTCTGGCGACAATGCATGCCACAATGCGGTTCGGTGTGTCTACCAGTCTTTGAATCCTCTCATGAGCCAAGTTCGTCCACAGTTGTTGCAGCAGCAATCTTCCAGATCATGCGGGTTGGTACTGCTACAGAGTCCCCTTCCAATGTAATCCCGCAGGTGTTCAATGATGCAGAGGTCCAAGGATATTGCTGGACACGGAAGGACCTCAACATCGTCTAGGCAATAGATAGACACGTCCTGTGTGGGTGTGCATTATCTTGTCTGAACACTGTCTCGGGGTGTGGTGCCATAAGGAGTAAGATGTGAGGACACAGAATGTCTCACACATCACTCTGCCGGCAACGTCTGCCACACCATTATGCCTGTGTGCATCCTCACATATTGGACAGGGTGTGCCCTCTGCCCTTCACGCCGCCACACTAACACAATGGTCATCCAAGGTTATGGCGAAGACGTCACATCGAAGGTTATGACGTCACTGAACACGATGCGACGCCGTTAGTTCGCTGTTCAAGCCTCCCGGGAACGGTACCAATCCAAATAACATCCGGGTTCTGGTGTCAATAGCAACCGACGCATGGGGGGGGGACCTCAATCCGGCGGATGCGAGTCGTCGAGACTGTGTACCTGAACTCACAAGCTGTTGTAGAGTCGCCAGATGTTCGTGGATGGCTCATGGCGATGTCATGGGATTCCGCACTGCTTGGCGCACCATACGACGGTCCTTCCTCGGGGTAGTGTTTCTACTCGACTAGAGCCCGCATGTCGTGCATGGGTGCCTCCATGTACCCATTGGTTCAAACATCGCGCATCTGAATGGCCCACATGCTTGGCAGTTGCATGATACGACCAACCTGTAAGGGGTAGAATGAAGACTCGCAATGCAGTCTCTGTCAAATCCAGTCAATTGGTGGATAGGCTGTCCAACGCGTCTGGGTGGCAGCGGGTGTTTCGGATGGTAGATAAACAACAACCTTCACTGACTCATAGCAGTTGACTGATAACTGCGCAATAACAGAGCAATGACATCACGAATGGTGGGCGTTCTACACATTACACATACATGTGAATCTAATAATTTACTCAAACATCAATGGCATGCATGTATACCGAAATGGGATAATATTGGACCATTCCAGATGGATGCATCACTTTTTTATCAGACAGTGTATGTATGCGGAAGTTGAAGTATTTAAAGTTCATACAATATACTCTTAAAAGTTTATAAATCTATAAAACAAATAGTGTGAATAGGAGACCACAAATAGTGGAAATGGAGCTAATTTAAATAATGGAACTCTTCACTCTCTTCAAAGCGAGTTTTCGTGAAGAAGCATTGCTATTCGTCCCACATAAATCTTTGTATATAATGTGTGTGTGTGACGTCATGGGATTGTGCAACCCCATAACGCCACCGTCTAGCACGTGTGAATACCTACAAGCAGCGAGGATAGCATACGCGGCGGAGCAGTGGCTCTTAAACGCGCAACCTGTTATCCGTTGATCGTACTAGAGCGCTCGAACTGGCGAGCGACGTTTTCCCGTTGAGGGTTGAAAGAGGAGAAGCAACTCCACTCATGAAATTTCCCAAGGCGTCGAGCCATATATCCTGTAACCCACTTTGGGAGCGGGCTATGATATTCCAGCAACGACAGCGAACATATCGACAGCGAACCGCTCGCTTGAATCACAGCAAGGGCAGCGGACAGGTCTTCTTGAGCTAGAGTACAAGTCTGATTGAGGACGGTATCAAAGTTCTGAAGGAACAACTTTTTAAATATCAGAACTTGGTAAAAGAAAGAAATTTTGACATTGAGAAACTCAACAAATTGCTGGAAGATGCAATGGTTGAGTATCAACAGCATTTTGAAGAACATGAAGATTTTGATGCACGGAATGATGAATTTTAGAAGATGGTGGCTGACAGGGATATCATGATTGAAGACTTGGAAGAAAAATTGGACATTTGCAGTAAAAAATTAGCTCAACAGCAGGAGAGATCAAATAATAAAGAATTGGAGGAGGCTGAAAATAATAATGAACTAAAATTCCTTCGTGAGGCATGCGATGAAAATAAAATCAAGATTATCCAGTTAGAAAGTGAAATGAAGCTTCAAAAAGAAAATGAAACACTGAGAAGTCTTCCAAAGTCACCAAATTCTAGTGAAGTGAAAGCTAGAATTACTCATTGCCAGTCATGAAAATCAGCTGAAAAAAATATCTAGAAAAATTGAAGAATCAAGAAGAAGCCAACAAATTGCTTGAGGATGAATTATGTCATTTGAAGGCATCATCAATACGCAGTAACCAAGAGGCAATGGAAAAAGAGATCGGCATTTCACAGGCTGAGGTTAAAGAAACTCCGAAAGGAAGAAAGGATTTAATGGAAATAATTTCGAAAGTATTAGAAGAATCGAAACGCTCTCTGCAACTGGCAGAAATGGCTCTCTCTGAAGAGCGAAATAAAACAAAAGCTATGAGGAGAATTTGTGAAGCGGAGAAGAGGGAACTCCTATTCAAATTAGAGCAAGTGCAGGAAGAAAGGACAAGGCTTGTGGCTTGTTGTGACAAACTTGAAAAAGAAAATGTACGCCTAAAGCTAGTGAATATGGAGCTTGAAGATGCAGTAAAAGTGAAGGCCTGTAAATCCAGAAAGAAGAAAAAAGAACATAAAGAAAATGCATTGGATGAAGAAATACAATTTGTCAGCCTTCCAGAGAGAGCAATTAAGCCTGATTCTGATATTACACAACTAAGGCCCAGAAAGAAAATCCTGTGTTACAATGAAGACGAGCAAAAGGTCTGTAAATACAGAAAGAAGAAAAAAGAACAGAAAGAAAATGCATTGGATGAAGAAATAGCCCTTCGCTTCGCACGCGGACAGCGAATTATCACGCCACACGAGCCTGCAGTTTTGCAAATTCTTTGAGCGAGGTTGTTACGATTCGTATTACGTACTCAATTTGACACATCCAAGTTAATTTATAATGGAACACACACAATTATACTACGTACATCCAATCTCGTACCTTAATAATGATTTATTTGCGAAATACGGATATCATACCATTTGGACATTTAATTACTTACGTCAAGACGAGAGACTTCTGAAGTCCTAATCGAGCTAATTAGGCGAAATTAAAAATAAATTTGGAACTTTGGTAGAAATTCCCCAGTAGAAGACCCCATCTAGTAAAAAAAACTTTCGCAATCCCGTCAGGAGTTAAATTAAAACGCACCTAAAGATAATTTGTGTTTTTAGGGAATGTCTTGACTGAACTGTATCGATTATGACTTTAGATTTCCATTCATTAAATTCAATTTGATCACTAACACAATTTTTTGGAATAAATGCACCAAAATAAAAAAAACGTTCTGATTTTGGGCCTTGCTGCTTGTGTATTAGTATAGAACACGGATATATCAAATTCTAAAATCTATGAACGAAAAGTTACAAAAATATACTACAAAAGTGCCAACTTGTAAATCTATCTCCTTTAGGCGTATCTCTCTTGCTTCTATCCTATTTAAACTTTCTTCTTTATATTTCTTCTGTATAGATCTTCTTGGTTTAGAGTTAACTGTTTCATGGAACTTTTACTATAGACAGTTCCACACACCACTGCAAACCAAATCTGAGACTAAGCTTGATTTCTCCGCCTCCTTGGTAGATGAAAGACCTGCGATTCGGTAGAATCCGTTGTAGCAATTAATTATGCTACTTTGCATCAAGTTAGGACGTATGTAAAGCTCCTTCATACAATTTTTCTGAAATTAAAAAAAAGACTTCTATCAAACCGTCAATGCATGTCTACAACACTATGTGCAACTTGATAATATTTTCCGTCATTTGCTGGTCCTTTAAAAATATAAATATTAACTGTTACATCGCCATAATCTTCCTATCTAGATTTCATTTCTTCTTGATCTACCCCGAACAGTGTCAACATTGCACATTGGATTTTAGAACAAACTACAAATATACCCCAATTGTATAACTGCCTATTATTTCAACAATAACTAACTGCATCTATCTAGAACATATGATTTAATGACGAGGAAAATTTCATTCACTTCCTATTCGCCTTGGATTACGTTCAATTGCATGCGACTACAGAACCAGGTGGTATCCCAAATTAAAACAAATAGAATTCCAATTTCATTAACCTCCCTTTAAATATGAAACGACTAACATGGAGTGTAGAATTCCGTCATCATACCGTAAAAAAACTTAAGACGGCAAAGCATTCCTGAGCTACAGACATTAGTACTGAACAACTTTTTACCTAGACTTACATAATTTTTTTTATTTACTTACCTAATTTGATTTCACATTGAATGACGTGAAATGTGACTGTGCTTCATATGCAGACTTTCGTGCCAGTGTCAAAAATCATTTAACAATGACGGTAGGAGTTCACTGAAGCTGCTCGTTAAAATCTACAGATGTTAGACAGCATCTGTGGGCAAGGTAATGGTGCATTAATTCAATTTTCAACTCTCACGCATTGAAACCAAACTTCCGTTTATTGTACAGTTATTGGAGTGTTGCAGTTTGTGGGAAGAGTACGACTAAGGTCTTTTCCAACTCTGCCCCTTGCAGGCATCATCTGTTGACGGTTTCATCTAATCGGGAACTTAAACGTCACGGTGACGTTCAAGCTCCCGATTAGATTAATCAGTCAACAGCTGATATATGCAAGGGTTAGAGTTGAAAAAATCGAAGTATAGTGGGGGACCATTCGCCACCAGCTGTTCAGACGCGCGTCCAGGGCCCGGCAATTCTCCATCAAAATTGTGGACAAAGCTAGAGGTTGCTACTGTAGGATGCGCTAGTGTCGCCGGATACAGCTGTTGCTAAGGCTCGCCAACTTTCGCACATAATAATTGGTCAAGAAATACGAATACACTTTGATTATGAGCGGTTTCTTATATAAATTACTGTGAAATACTATGTGTTTATCTTCTAAAATTCATTTATTCATAATAATACACGCATGAGAGAAAAGGTAACGCGAACAGTAGCGCGATCTTTTGTATCAAGCGCGTGAGTTTGGGTCCCGAGAACTCACGCACGTTTTAAATAATGTTGGTAGCAGTTCGTGTTTTAGTTCGTGTAAGAAGGCGATGCTCGAGAGTAATAGTAATGGTCTCCACCACGTTATATGGGAGTTATAGGGCCCTGCGCGCGTCCGCGCCACTGCCACCACAACAGTTCTAAATTACAGCCCTCACACCAGGATGTGTTTAGATGTTTACTAGTTGACTGCCGTGCGCAAAACTGTACAAAACAGGAATCCCATTTTCCCATGCTCAGTGACGAAGGACGGTGGCTGTGTGTGAAGGGGCTCGGCGCTTCTTTGTGGCGCCACTGAGTGACTTCGTGTGCAGACGACAAAAGTAGCACTAAGTAAATAAAGCACGAAACCATGACGTTAACGCAACATCGGGGACATGACTCAACCTGGCTCCCATTCTTTAAACTATCCTATGATTTCGATTTACAAAAGAAACAATTTCTACAAATTTGTATTGAAAACTAACGTGCGCAACTCCTACTAAAGTTTCTTTTGCAACGACGAAGGTTCACGACACACTCGACGAAGGGGAAGAGGAGAGAAGCCGACGCGACGTTAACAGCTTTAGTGCAGTCAACAAATCATTTTGCCTTGCAAAAGGTGAGCTAGAAGATTATTTTTTATTTTATTTAAATTGCTATTAACAAGAAAACCCTAAGTTACCACCTCCAAATACTTCGGGAAATATTTTGGTAGTCAAAAAAACGAAACATTTCGGGCATTTTCTGGTTTTTGCGTAATGCCTTTTTAATGTTCGATATGGTGCAAAAATGGTTTTGTACAATTCTGAAGGTCATACTATTCTCTACGTATTTGCCATATTTTTTTGAAGTAAATAGTAACTGAGCTAAGAGATTTTAAAAGTTCACCAAATTTTCCTTTTTATTCGAAAGTTGTCCCAAATTACGAATTGCCTCTCTAAAGTATTTTTCGATTCCTACGTCCATTATAAATAAAAATGGATTAAATATTAATACTTATACAGGTTAAACTTGCGTTTGAAAGTTCTGGATTTTTTCTCGGTTTTTGACTAACAAAACTTTCCTCCAATTATTTCGACGTGGAAAACTTAGGATTTTCTTACTAATAACATTATAAACGAAATTTAAAAAAACAACAAAATCTACTTCACCTTCTGCAAGGTGGAGCCCCTATTGGCTACCCATCGGATGCATTACATATCAGATTTTTGCCCACGAAATGGCGAAAGCCCAAGCTTTTCATTAAATTATGAAACTTATTTCACTAGGATTCATTTCGATTTACCTCCTACAAACAACTACCTTGAAATAAAGTTTTCTGTTATAAACGCAGCAGGAACCTACCTACAAGAGTCCTAAAACTGCAACAAAATATCCAAAAACCTATGTTGAACTTAATGATTAATGGCAGGCCCAATCTTTTCGAGAAAACATTGTCATCGAGTTCGAAAGCCACTTACGGGCGTGAAATCAGAACCAGCAGCCGCCCCACCGCAGTCATGCGTTATCTCGTCCCCCCTGTTCTTGTAACTGCCGTGTAGTTGTGGGGGAAATAATTGCGGGCACACACTGGAGTGTTTAATGATGATAGTATCTACGCCTTTTATAAATATTTTCGCCAGTTGCAGGAATGTTTTAATAGTGAATTCTTTCGTTTCAATTTTGTGTCTTTTTTATCAAATTATTAAGTTTTTGTTGAATATTTCAAACACGTTAAATGAACGTTCTTCATAGGTGGACAGTTCTTTTTAGCAGATAGAACTAAACTTC